ACTACCAAATGTAAAATAGCTAGTGGGAAGCAGCCACATAGCACAGGGAGATTAGCTTGGTGCTTTGTGACCACCTAGAGTGGTGGGGGAGGGGGGGGGGGGGGGGGGGGGCAGGCACCACCTCCCGCCTCAGTGCTTCCTCCTGCCTCCCGCTCTGCCGATTTTGAATCCCAGCTTGGGGTAAAATGCCAGGGATCACGGCCGCTGCCTCTCCAGCCCTTCTCCGTCAGGTCACAAGAGCCTCTGTCCACAGCTGGCAAAAGCAAGCATCCGTTCGTTCATTTGTGCACCGACCGCACAGGGCCAAGGCCGAGCACGAGGATGATGCGCTGGGTCTCCGGGAGGGGACTGTGGGGCGAGTTACGGAAAAAGTGCATCTGCTTCCTAGCGCTCTTGGAGAGTCAGGCGGTGCTCAGCAAAGAGCAAGAGCAGAGGAAACGGGGCCCGGAGGGCCCGGAGGGGGCGGGACGCGACCGTGGGGGCCCTCGCTCGGGCCCTGCTGCCCCCGGGCCGCTGCACAGCGGTGCCGCCGCCGGAGAAGGGCCGTGGGGACGCTCACCCCCTGGCGTTGTCGAGGTGAATCAGGAACCCGTCGTCCCCGAATTTGGTGAACGTCTCGTAGTGGTGCCGGTCCATGTTTCCTGTGGAGGAGGGGAGGCGTGGGCGCGGGCTCCCGCCCTGTGAGACCCCGCAGGGCTCGGAGGCCTGCGGGCTGCTCAGAGGCCGGAGTCGAAACCCGGGCCGCCAGCTGTTGCGCCCCCAGGTGGCCGGTGGAATCGCGGAGGGGGCAGGAGGGAGCCAGGCAGGCGGGCAGAGCCGTTGTGAGCTGCTGTCCCGTCGGGGTCTTTTCCCACCCGCGCTGGCGCCCCTGCGCTGCGCAGGCGCGGCTCCGGGCCGCCTCCCAGGGTGCACAGCGGCCTTCCTGCCGAGCCTTCCGTTCCCTGGGCCGCACCGCTGCGCCCGCTGTGCGCCTCCCCGCAGCCCCCTAGCAGGAGGGCAGCCCGCTCACTGCTGTCCCCGGGGCCTCTACCACTTGGAGCCCGTGGATGGCGCGAGGTTATGGAGGCCAGGTGGCCCAGGCCGCAGGGTCCCCGCCCGGCCGGGCCCCGCGGGCAGCACCCACCCGTCAGGAAGTCGAAGATGGCCATGTCGATGATGTTGAGGAGGCGGCCGCTGCTGCTGTGCGGGTAGACCTGCTTCACCGTGTCGCAGTAAAGAGGGTTGACTTCCCACCTGAGGGGAGAACAGGGCCTGGGCTGCAGAAGCCCGGGCGGCGAGGTGTCCGACCCACATCCATGCTCCCCGGTCTCGCCTGGGCCGCTGGCGGCAGGCGCCCCCACGAGGACCTGGGCAAGGTCCCGCCGTACCCGCAGACTCCCTGGGTGAGAAGGGGTGGGGCCCTTTCTCCGCGCGTTTCCGAGCATCGCCTGGCTGGGCGCCGTACTGCCCGTGTGCCGGGAGGCCACCCGCTCCCTCTGCGGCCCCTCGCCCAGCCTCTCGGGCGCTCGCCCTCCGGTCTCCCGAGCCGTTCGCAGCCCCCCTGCCAGCCATCCTCTGCCATTTCTCTGCCACATGGGCTCCTCCGCCTAGAACGCCCCCAGGTCCCTTTTCGTCTGGGGCGGGGGGGGGGTCTTCCTCAGCCTTCACGAGTCCCTAAGGATCTGTCACGTCCCCCAGAAATTCTGGCCTGGTCACTCCTCTTCCCACCACGGTTGGGGTGTCTGGATCGACGAGCCCATTCATTCAGTCACCTCGTATTAACTGAGGACCTGCCCTGTGCCCGGGAGTGTGCCACACCCTGGGGAACAACCGTGAGGTCCCGGCTTCACGGCGTGGACTCAGCACACCCGGCCCCTCCCGCGGCCTCCCCGTGGGCATCTCTGCGGGACAGCAGGTGGGCACTGCGTTCTCACAGCCTGGCTACCGTCTGCCGCCCCGCTGGACCGCAGAGCTTCTTGAAGGGACAGCCCAGGTCTGTCCTTTCTGTCTCCCCCAGCATCTAGTGCTGGGTACGCAGTGGGCTCTTTATAACCAAACGCATGAACGAAAGGGACAGAACGGACACCAGGATCCACGTGAGACGAGGCAGAGGAGGACTGAGGCAGCTTCAGGGCTCCCCAAGCCAGGCGAGCGAGTCCTTGGTCCAGGGGCCACTCACTCCTCTTTGCCCGCCAGCGAGTAGGAGCGGATCCAGGGGCTGGGGACGGACAGTCGGGGGGCCAAGTTGAGGGACGGCAGGAACGCGGACAGGGAGCCCTCCAGCAGGTGCGGGTTGCCGCACACGGCGTACTCCGTCTTGCACAGGTACGGGCACTTGGCGAAGAAACACACGTTGCTGGCTAGAGGCGGAGAAGGAGAGCGGTACGTGGAGGACGCACGCCGTCCTCCCGCCCCACGAAATCCCTGAGGGGGGAAGGGAAACCCTGAACCCGCGGCTCGGGGGGAAAAGGCCGGGGAAGAAGAAAACAGCGCCTTTTCCCGATGTAGGGGCTTGTGGATGCTCTTAAACTGAGCACCCTGGGGACCAGCTCTCAAACGTCTCTAAGTAGAGACGGTGTGGGACCAGCCTCGCTGCATCGCGCCCACGCGACCAACCCGGCCTTTGTTCGGATGGGTGGCATCTGATTCGGGGGCAGCCGGCCTCAGAGTTCAGGGCCCAGGCTGGTGAGCATCTCATGTCCAGCCGTCTCCCATCCCCAGGTCACCTTGTGTGACGCCCAGGTGGCCCAGGGTGTGAGTGTCTGATGGCAGCATGTAGCCACCTGATAGGGGATGGGGCCACCAGCAGGAGGTCAGACCACACTGGCCAACCACATTCTTAGACCCAGAGTGTTGCTTTGGCCAGAAGCCTACCTGGAGAGATAAAGAAAACACTCTGCAGGATCTCATTCTTGGTGACCTCCAGGATTTCCTTGGTGACATTGACTAGCCTCCCTACGGTCGGTGGTACCCGTCGGAAGTCCAGAATCCTGAAAGAGGGGGAGCCCAGTTCAGATCTGGGGGATGATCACCCATTAGAAACGGACCTGCTGCGAATTCCCTGGCGATTCAGTGGTTAGGACTCTGCGCTTCCACTGCAGAGGGCAGGGGTTCGATCCCTGGTCGGGGAACTAAGATCCTGCCCGCAAGCCAAGCGGCAGGATCCAAAAGAGAAA